ATATATAGTGCTTTTTTTACAAAAAGTACTACATAGTCCTTATTCTGTCAACATAAGACCACAATGCATTCTGTCACAAAAACTGTGTCAGTCTGCAAGAACATCTGAGTGACTAAGACACTGGTCTCAAAGGTTTTGCATCAGTCTGAAATACTTACTGTCGCTGGGGAGGCCCGCGTTGTGTGAGTCACTGTATGACCAGAATTTTCCATTGAATTGCCAATCAGATAGGTGCCTCCTGAGCTGCTAATGAGTTGTCCTCCTGTTACGCCCATCTGAATCCCTCCAGTGCCCACCATGCTATGAGACGAGACCACTGTTGTCACCTGTGCAGAACTTCCTTGAGTATCAAAATAATTTCCCCCAGTGTTTTGACTGTACATCTGGGTTTCTGTGTAAGGATAAGTTGTTGATCGGCTTCAAGAAAAGAAAACAAAAAAACAAAAAAACAAAAAAAAAAAGAAGAAAAATACATTATTCGTATTTCATTTAGCTGAGGGTAATGTTATAACTCTAGAAACTGATTTATAAAAACTAAAATCAAATCAAATAAGATTCACAAACAATCCCTGTCTCCTCAGAGAATAACAGTTAATCAAGTCAAAGCATTAAATAACTAACTCAGTGTCAATGATTTCAAGTGTCCACCGAACATTACAGAAAAACTGTCAGTCCTACATGAAGAACAACAGAGAAAGAAACAACAAAAACTAAAGGCAGGCACACAGAGCTAATCCAATTATTAATATATTGCAAAGTAATTTACAAAGTTCTGCCTGAATCAATATTTTTTAAAATTTGACAATGAATTTTTATTTCTAGTTAGATGTTATATGTTTGCAGTTTGCAAAACTACAAACAATTCATACAAATGTCAGCTAACACAATGTTCAAGAATCCTCTGTTGTCTATTTTTAAATCCATTGAAGCTCTTGACTGAAGCTTGAAATTCAGAGTCTGCTGGTATTTTGGGAAACACAGTTATTTTTACAGGGCAAATGCAAAATCAGACATGAATTCATGTAATGATAAAAAATGGAATTTAAGAAATAAAGCCAAACAGAACTATAACTCATAAAACAGTTGCAAAGATTAAGAAGGTAGAGGAATGCAACAGTAACATTTTAAAAAGAAAAGTATGAAACATTCACACATCATTACCTAGTTCACCCTAACAAACTACTCAGCTACTGAAAACTTCTATCATATGTTTCATGTTCTTATTCACTTATTTTGAATCATTATTCTTCATGTGTTAAAATCTACTTATAATTTTTGAATTTGTATTTGTTCCCACAAACTAAATTTGATATTTAACATATTTTAAATTGAAATTTTGACTTGAATTGAAATCTTTTGTGTTTCAAAATGATAAAAGTTTAATTCCTTATTTCGAGGACTGCATATCTGTATGTTGACAAGCATGATACCAAGTAAAATCAGTTTACCCAACCATTAATTTTCTTATTTAAACATAAAAATCTGTAATATTTCTTGTAACCCATAGGCAGTATCAATTTACATGGCATGTAACTAAACAAATTAAAAAAACCCCAACAGCCAAACAACAAAACCCCAGACACTTTGGTACAGAAACAGAAGAGGTGGATGCAGCACTCATTTTTTTTTGCAGTAAACCGATGATTAAGACCCCTATGCAAGAACCTGAAGTCAGGCTTTTCTTCTCCCTTTATCTATACAACATTTATTTTTTTAGTAATGTAGAGAAAAAATAAAGGCAATTTACTGTTGTTATTTTTTTTTAATCATGAAAACTTATGTAAGATTACTTAATTATTAAACAACAGATCCAGAAATTATAATTTCTTCTTTACCTTCAGAAAAGCATTAGTTCTGCATAACTGTAAAACGTAATAGTCAACAACCAAAGCCAGAAATTTTGCTTTCTTAACTATGGCTACAACAGCTTCTCCCTTCTCCTGCAGAGACTTCCACAATCTCTAAAATGTAAGTTTTAAAATCTGAAATGTTTCACAAGCCTCATAACTCCTTATTCCCTCTTACCCCTCTTTAAGCTACTTAAACACGTTCCATTTTATTTTGGATATTTCAAAAGCCTCAAGATCAGTGGAAAGTGCAAAAAACCTCAAAGCTATTCCAAACACAATGCCCTGCAGTCTGCTGAAAAGATAGCAAAATAGTTCTTTCAGGGACTAATGCTCAAACACACATTTAACCTATTAACCTTTCTTTTGGAAGTTAAAATCAGTTGATCTTTACATTGCAATAACCTACACATATATTGAGGTACTGTGCAGGTCCTGATTAATCTGTTCTCTCCAGCCAAGGTATCATGATGATACTTTGTGATACCTCTGGGATACTGTTTATCTTAGAACCATAGAAAATATTTACTGAGTTACTAAGGTTGGAAAAAAACTTTGAGTCCAACCATTATCTGAAGGCTGCCATCTTCATCCCTAAATCGTGTTCCCATGTGCCTAGATGTTTTGTGAACATTTCCAGGAATGGTGGTTCCACCACTTCCCCAATAACAAAGTGGCTGACACTGAAACTTATCCCAAAAGAGGAAAGAAAAATCTTGGTATCAACTTTCAGTAATGAAAGGATAAGATCATTGTTGACAGCAAAAATAGACATGCCTAGAGGAAATACATTGTACAAAAGCTGCAAGGAGAAAAATCTCACTTGCAAAAGTGGAATTGAATATTGGAAGCAATGCAAATCCTAGAAAATCATTCAAATTTGGAAGAAAATTAAGCCACAGACTTAGCGTGGAATAGGAGACAAAGTATTTGTTTGCTTTTGCCTTGTTTAGGTATATTTGTATATCATATGTATCATATGTAGACCTCTGTATCACACATAGTCTCAAAATGTACAGCATCTCAAAGTGTAACAGCACCTACTTCTGCTTATAATAGCACTCTGTATCACTGCATCAACTGGACATATCAATGGGTTTGACTCCAAAATAAACACACTCTTCTGTTTGGTCCAACAACCAGCAGGCTTTTCTAGAACACCTCATCACTGGAGATGATCTAGCAAACCTTTCACAACAGAGATCAACCGTGTACTTAAAAGTGAGATGAAACTATTATTTTTACATGCAATAATAATTGCAACTTAGAAATGAAGATGTTTAATTTAACTAAAATTCAATCTGGAAATTAAAAATGCAGCTGGATAAGTTGATGTTTTAGAAAGCAGTTTTGAGAAATGATGTTTTCAGAAAGCAGATCTGAATGTTTTGTGGTCAGTGCACATGATAACGTGACCCTTAAAAATAAAGTTGCAGCAAAGAGGAAAATAATTTCAAATAAGAAGTAATCTTCTATTTCTTCATATCACTTGTAGCACAAATACATTATACTTTCTCAAATGGTCTGACACATATCATAGTCAGTTCCTTCCCACTGCAAAGGTTGTACAAGCATTCATAGCCCTTCTTTCCTTTAACAGCTGCATGTAAAATCACACAGGGAGTAACCTCAAAGATTTCTTGTTCTTACTGAGAGCATATTGATGATTAACTCTTGCTTGAGATAGCAGAAAGGCAACAGAATCTGATAGTTTCTGCCACTGCAACAATTCTGCGAAGTTCAGTGCTTACTAGAATGTGGCACTAGAAAGCTTATCAGTTACAAGTGAACTTAAAGTCTACTTAGTTAGGCTGTAGATTCCTAGTTTCCAGGAGGTTGTGAAAAGTAGATCATGTTTACCCTGAGAGCAAGCAACAAAAAGTCAGGCACCGTGTGAATTCAATTTAGATTAAGCAAGCCCAGAACAGATAACAGATGTTAAGGTCCCACACTGGAAATTAACAATACCGGCAAGAGTTGGACTAGCATTGCAAGGTACAATGATTCAAGGCATTTCCTACTATGCCTCATTGCTTACTTACATACATTTTACAATGATTTAAAAAATAAAATGCTAGAAATAAAAGAGATGGAGTTGTAGTACAAAGTTTCAAACACTATTTTTTTTGCACATGAAAACAGAAAATGACTGATTTCTACATTCAGTAAGTCCCAGCATTACCATGCAAATCAATTGCAATGTCTTGCCTTACATTACAGACTCTAATACAATGTTACTGAGCCAAATTTTTACAGACGTTTTCGTCCCTTCAAAGACACATTCTGAAAAAAAGGAGAAAGGTAAAAACAATGGCACAGAAAGAGTAAACTTGTTCTTATCCTCTCTTAGTCTTGAGTGTGCACTATTTGAATTATTGGAAATAATTTATTCCCATCTACACTTACGCAGATTCTACATAAATACCCAATGCATGACTACTATGTGTCAGTGTTCAACCTTAGAAATCCTCCAAACCAAAAAATTCTTTTATGCCAGAACAATATGCTCAAACTCCTTTAAGTTTTTAGGATAATTCTGTCCTTAAGCTAACAGTGAGCTTCACAGAAACTTTGTCTAATACTGAGGGAAGGCCTTGCCACAGCCAGATTCTGGAGGTGAGGTATCCTAAGGAAAGGGAAGAAAAGGAAGTGCCATACACCCTGAGACTGTCACAACAGAACATGATACAGCCATTAAATTATAATAGTGAGGCATTTATTAGCCATAAAAAAGAACTGAGATCTTCAATGCTCAGTCCAAGACCATTTCCCACATGGAAAAAAGCAATAAAAGCACACACAATGCACAGCTACAGAATACCCTGCAAATCAGGGAACATAGTAAATTAAAACAAAGGTGCAATTCTACAAATTCTGTTCTCGGGATCTGTAATTTAGACAGTTAAGGCAACATTAATTACATACTTCTAAAATTCTGATGAAGAATTTCAGAGCAGACTTGTGGTCCAAGAAATATGGTATTGCCACTGCTAGCAATATGTCAAGGGACACATACTAAATCAGCAAGATCTCAGGAGTTGGGCTTGTCAGGCTTTCTTTGTCTAGGCTTCTCAGTGTTAATCTACAGTTTTGTTCTAGCAGTGATTACTGAACAATTAGATAAATGTAACTTAATCTGTTTCCTTTTAATCTTACCTTTCTACGATTGTGTGGTATGAAACCTATAATTAAATGCTGAGGCATTGTTCTGTCTAACAGACATAAATATCAAATAGCTATTCTGTACACAATAAACAATCCATGACCCTAGATCAAAACTGTAGCAAAGAGGACCAGGAACTGGCGTCACAGTATTCAAGAAGTATTCATTCTGGCAAAAACAGACCACATAAAACAAATTCAGATGAACTGTGGAAATGAAAACCCGTGAAGAACAGGTAAGATATAGACTGTGCTAGAACACATTAAAAATTGCTGCAAGTGGACACACTGTGGAGTGGCCCTCACCACCCATACATCCTCCACATATAATGCCTGCATTGGTGGTAAACTGCTGTAACTCTGTGTACAGAGCTACAGGAAGACAGGAGCCTTCACCTTAGTATGCAAAAGGGTAATAAAAAGGAGAATAATAAAATGAGTAAGAAAAGGAAAAGGAGAATGCCAGAGAAAAAGGGATAGATATTAGTAACTAGTAGAAAGATAACAACTTCAACTTTATTGATAATAATTACTTCATTTAACCGTGAAGATTTCAGTTAAGGTAGTACTAAATTTGCATAAATGGTGTGTTTTGCTAACATAAACACCACAAATTGTTGTATAAATTGGTGAAGAATGTGGCTTAGATCCAACAGCAATAGTAATCCTTGCACCATCCCAGGAATTCAAACCCTCTTTGCAGCATGAGAACTACCAGGTAAATGGCTACATTTTATTCACGTGTTACGATTCGTAAAAAGAATACCCCTCTAGTATGCGAAATCAATTGCCTTCCTAGCATAGGTGCAGCAATAAATCTTAAAATATTCTGAACAGCCAGGTAAGCCTGTACATGCCATTGCAGCAACAATTCACTTTTGTTTCAAGATAGTGACATGCTTGACAAGCAAAACTTTTGTTAACTAGAGACAAATGTAGATAACATAGTTCAAATATTCTTATATCATACAATATATGAAACATACAAAGTTGTGGGCTACACCCCCTGTATTGTTATATTGCCTCCAATTATAATAAAACCAAATAATTATTGTTATTAACTTTAAAGTGTAGACAACTCATGATATAAACTGAGTGGGAAAATTTGTATTAGAAGAATGCAACAGTTATACTTGACAAAAACTGTGAAACCTGATAAACTTCTTATTTTTATAATGCAAAGAATTAGGTAACATTTTCCTTGTACATATTGTAACTGCACCTTTTGTTGCTATTGAATATGTATTTAAATCAGTGCTAGTTTGTAAATGCTGTATTTTAAAATAAAGGATAATTCTTTCACAGAACTGTAGAATAGTTTGGGTCAGAATCGTCCTTAAGGATCTTCTAGTCCAACTCACCCTGCCATGGGCAGGGACACTTTCCATTAGTCCAGGATACTCAAAGTTCCATCCAACCTGGTCCTGAACACTGCCAGGGATGGGACATTCACAGCTTCTCTGGACAACCTTCCTCACCACTTTCTGAGCCAAGAATTTTTTCATAATATCTGACCTATCTAATATTAATCTCTCCTCTTATAATTTAAAACATTGCCCCTTTAGTCTATCATTATCTGCCTGTACAAGAAATCCCTCTCCCACTTTTTTTGTAAGCCCTCTTTAAGTAATGGAAGGTCACAATAAAGCCTTTCAGCCTATTCTCACCTGTCCCCATAAGAGAGGATGTCCAGCCCTCTGGACATCTTCATGGCCCTCCTCTGTACCTGCTCTAACAGGTCCATGTCTTTCTAATTGCTGAGGACTCTAGAACTGGACACAACACTTAAACCAGGGTCTCATGAGAGCAGAATGGAAGGCGACATCTTTCATCAGGCATGCTGCAACAATTTATTCCAGAGAATCCCATATGAATTAATGTCTTCACCCTAACTATGGTTTGCAGAATTAATCTGTTGCTAGAGCAGTACTGTTTCTTGATAGATTACGGAACAATCCCAAATCTGATTTTGAGTTAGAACTAAGATTTTGATTTATCATAAAGGATATCAAACACATAGGAAGACTACAGAAAATCTGGTGTATAAAAGCATATGGGAAATGTGTTTCTCTGTATAGAATCTTTAAAAAGTCTGAGTAGAAACACAGACTGGGTCCATTCTCTGTCAATGAAATTACAATTTTTAGAAAGGCTAATCTTTCTGCAAGGATTTGACAACAAATTGCCTGTCCACTACATTGCTGCTCACAACAACATAGGTAGAATCTTCTTTGTAGGATGAAAAAACAATCTAGATTTGGCTCACACGCTAAGAGCTTTCTTCTTTTCTATCCTATTGACTGATTTTGCAGCAACTGACAGAGGGATTCAGATATAGAAATACAATAAAACAATGGAAACCTGAAGATTCATACCAAGTAATCAGTCACACCTGCTTCTGTTTCTCCCTTGGACTGTTATTAGTAGTGTAGTACACTTTTTATACACTGACTAAAGTCCCAACAGCACATATAAGAATTTAAAAGTAGTGAATGAAAAGAGAAACTTGAAAAACAACTTATTTAAGTATGACTTCTTTTGGAAGCTAATAGCAGACTATCATGGTCACAATGACATTATGCTGCTGTATGTGTGTGCTGGCCTTGGCTGGGGTAGAGTTACTTTTTTCACAGTAGATATTATCAATGCCATTTGTAGCCTGAAACACAGCTGTGTACTAGTTACTAGGAAGAAAATTAATCTATCCCAGACAAAACCAGTACAATAGAGAAGTCTAATGCATATTTAAAATACATTGTTTAGGATTTACAAGAGAGAAAAAAAAACAGAGAAGACAGTATGTGAAAAATTAATAAATCAAAATTTGCTAGTAGAAAGGACCAAAAAAACGCTGTCAGTGATAGCATCCTAAGTCTCTGAACTCAAATAATATTACTCTTTTGAACTGCTTTTGGATTACCATCAATATGTAAGTACCTCAGGCAATCAAAAAGCTCTCTAAATTGTACTTCCTTGTAAAGGCAGTTAGAAAGCAGAAATAGTAAATGAAAAAATGATGTTGAGAAGCTCCTTTTCAAGCAACACAGTCTACTTTGAAGTTTGAGCCAATTAAAAAGATGCTGTTGCACCAAGCCTGTTATTAGACTAGGTAATGTCCAGAGGTCAGACCAAATCTAGATTTTTTTTTTTGAGTCTTTCTTAACTTGTGTATTGAAGAAAGAAACTTGATGAGAACACTCATTCAGGAAAGCAGAACATGCAGAATCATGTTAAAGAAGCAGCAAAATGAGGCTGTTAATTTCCTTCCTCTGCTTTTCCTCATTCCTTCAGAAAAAAAACAAATCCTGATCTCATTTTATGAAACACAGGAATGAAATTACATTACTACTTTCTTTAGACAGTAACTACAGCTGCTGCACCTTCCTATCATTTGCCACTAGGATTGCAGCCAGGAAGACAGAAGGCCCTGCCTTTTGTCCTGAAGACATAAGTTATACAACATGTCTTTCAGACAGAACATACCCATTAACTAGAAGATATTTTTTTTTAAACTACGCCATACAGGCTGCAACTAAAACAATCACAAGAATTCTACTTACACAAAACTTCTGACTTACTAAAAACAAATAGTGTGAATTCACATTTTCATCAAAAAAACTATTCTGACAGTACAAGAACTGTAATTAAGTTTTCTTTCCAATTTAATATACAGTAGTTTAACATACAGTAGTTGATAGAATATAACTGAAAATATATATTTGACTTCATATTTTAATGAACATTAAAATTCTGACCATTTCCAACTTACATAGCTCCATTAGTGTAGACTGTGTCACTTCCCTCCACATATTGAACCTGGGCTGGGTAGACATGCTGTACCTGTTGCACAGTCTGTACTTGCTGTACCTGAAAACAAGAAAACCAGAAGTTTGGGATATCATAAGGAAGTACGAATGCTCCAATGCCTCACGTGGCTTCTAAACAATTTGAGATATCTCTGTTCTCAAGATTGCAAAAGGTGTATCACAGCACTAGCAAAGAAAATTACTGTTCTTACATGACATTTGTGCTGGAAGTTTGATAAACTGAGCCCTAACACTGAAAATGCACACTCATGATGCATACATATCTTCAGTGCCAAAGACAACTATCTGAAGAGCACAAAGATGAGATGAAGTGTAACTTTGCTTTGCACCAAGCTGAAGAATTACATTTACTACAGAAGAAAGTATCATTTCATTACATGTATGCTTTTTCCATGTAAGTCCTAAATAATACAAGCCCTAAAATCATACTCAAATATGTTACAGTAAGTTCAGAAATAAATGTTCTCATTAAGATGCTTTAGCTCTTGTTTAACTGCAGTTAAATTACAGTGATGCAAGAGGTTTTTCTTTGCAGTGTACAATTACAGGCCAAAACCCCCAGTCCGAGTAACCACTTTCCCAGAATATTATCAGCTATTAAAAACTCCAGCACAACCTGGTTTTACTTCAAGAACTAAGCAACAAGAGGTAGTAAGGCAAGGATTATCTTCACATGTATTGCTAAGGACCATTACTCATCAATTAGTTTGATTCATATGCTATTGTAGGAATGTTTCAGGTCATGGCAATTTTCTCTCCTGTCTCAATTTTTTGTCTTCTGCCACAGTCGAGATGGAGAATTTCAATTTTTACACCATCCATCTTACAGAGAAGCCGTATTTTGGTCTAAGAGAAGTCCAGAATCTAAAACATGCTAAAGGAGATACAAAGAATTCACAGATTGACAAAATTTTGCCCAAGAAATTTAATCAAGAAAGAATCAATGCTTAATTATTCAGTAAGTAGATTTAACATTAGGTGACAATATTTTTTCTTGTATTTATTGTTATAAGGATACTTCAATCTAATTTAGTTGGTTCTTAGGACTGCAAACACCATAATCCTAGATCAGCCTGGGTTTCATGAATTTAATGAATCCCCTCCAAGAGCTCTTTAAAAATATCATAATCTAATACTTTCACCTGTGTTTTAAAAATTTTTGCAAATAAGCACATTTCCTACTTTTTCATAATGCTGACTGACTTTGAAATAGAAGTCTAGATTTTCAGATAAACCTTCCCTTAGGTTGACAATAAAACCCAAAGTCTGAAAAAGAGACAAAACAGCCAGTTTAGGAAGTTTAGAATACAGCTAAACTACTATATATCTGATGAAAAATCAGATGCTTCTGTCCATTAACAGCAATGAGACAAAACACGATGGCTAAGATATATATTAAAATCCAGTTTTCTGATTTCCCATGTGAATTACATAAATTGAGAAATACCCCTGAAACACAATTTTTCTACTTCCAAAAGTATACTTTGAAGATGTTTGCTTAATTATTAAGGTAAGGCAGCTGTGTACATTTCTTCTCCTAACAATATTTATTTAACAGAAAGGTTCGGTTCTGAAAGTAAACACAAAGAACTCCAATCAAAATTATTCACATTACTAAGACCTTAGAAAATTCTTCAAATTAAAATATATAAATAGCTGTATTGTGCAAACATCTTCCAAAATTAAAATATTCTATTTCCATCACTTATGACTTACTAACTTAAATTAATTCAAATCCTAATTTCATGAAATGGGCTTGATCCAAATCCACAGTAAGAAAGACCTGTAAGCTCGTTATTAATCTGTACCTCTCAATATTTAGATCAGCCAAGCTCTTACAAAATGACACACACACGCAATAATTGGCCAAAATACGTATGTGCTTTATTGTGAAACGTATGTGCAACTTACTGAGATATTTTTCAAGTTTAACTCTAGGCATATTTCTTCCTTTTGGGTGAGTGAATTGTATGACCTTCAATCAATGGGAGAAGGGGAGTCATTGTTAATCTGCCTATTGCAGAACACCAGACTGATCTACTTGACCTATGGCATGAGAAAACACCTTGAAAACAGGCTTTGTTCTTAAAACCAGTAGCTTGTCACCTGACATGTAATGGATATGCCCCATATTCTCTCTCAGTAAGACAGCTGGGGAAACACTGTGGCAATGATGCTGTTGTCAGTATCAATTCCATGTTCTCATCCAACTACTCCCAAAATGCACTTTGTTCCCTATTCACACACACTGAATATGGCTTATTATTCCTATTAAGAATAACCCACACTATTTTGCTGTTAATGAAGGAGACATGATTTTCTCTCTGTAACCTGTATATACTGATAAGATGGACCTCTACATTGTATACAAACACAGCATTAAAACAGAAAGGTCATGTTCCCCTCCTATAGAAGGCATTATGTCCTCCCATTATTCTTGAATACAAGCTGCTACCCATTTCAAAAACACCAGATTCAGCACAGTGCAAGACCTTTCCGTTAGAAGCAAGATGATGCTGCAGGGACAAAGTGTGTATACAGCACATCAACATTTGCTGTCTATTGGACAGGAAACTGAAAAAATCCAAAATGTGTTTCTCTTCTCATATGGAGTAAGAACAACAAAAATTTAATTTTGGAATACCAACAAAATACCAAAATCTGTTAAAACTTAAAAAATTTCATTGCTTAATTTCAATTTTCCGGCAACTTTTATCGAAGTTCTTTACTAGCCTAATATGTAGTAACTACTAGAAACTTCAGGACTATTTATGCTAGAAAGTAACTTATTTTTTAACTTTAAACTAAAGAATGGATATGCTATAGTGCTATTAAAACATTTTACCAACTTTTGAATATCAATATGTTTCTTGTTTAACACTGAAGTTAAATACAAAGAGGACCACTGAATTTTTTTTCCAATACAGTAATTTAAAAGGTTTACATAAAAATTTACTTTGCTTCAGCTTCTTTGAAACTCAGTACTGCTACAGTTAAATTTATTATCCTGCCAAAAGAAGCTGTAGTCACTACATGGTATTGCAATATATTTAGAACTTTAGGTTAGGGAAGGTTATAGGCAAATATTTTTCTGTCAAGCTATGACAAATAAAATAAATAAGGAGCCTTTAGGATGGCTTTGTATATGAAACTTCTGCCATAATGAAAATCTTTCTTATTTGATATTTCCAGTACTAATTTTATTTCTTATTTAATTTTTAATGCTTTAATGAGAATTAAATCTAGTGCCTCTGAATTTTCTTTTTAATGTTCAACAGAAAGAAATGAGACACATATATTTAGTCTCTATGAACACAAAATTATTTGAGTGAAGTTAGTTATAAGGAAACAAAACTCCATGAAAAAATGTGGATAATATGAAAAAAGGGGTTTTTTTCTTCACTTCAGTTTTATTTATCATTATCCTTTCGCCTTTTAGTAAGCTGTTAAAGGAGTGGTATCAGCTGAGTTATGTAGTTTTTGGGGCAGAGCAGAAATTGTTGACTATCTTCCCAGTGTTTTCCAGAGACCTAAACCTAAATGGCCTTTCCAATAATTAATTGAACTGGGCTCAAAATAGAAAACACAATAAATAAAATATTTATTAAAGAGCAATAGTATTCAAATTCAAAAATTATGTTCTAGCGTGGACCAGTGAACTAGCCATGGTAATTTTCATTATTGTCTGGCTCGAAAACAGAAAATTAATAGCAATTTTTGACTTAAATAAGGTCAGCCAGTAGAGCATTCATTCCTCCTGCTTCAGTGACTCTAGCCTGAAATAAAAAACTGCAATAGGAATAGAAGCAAGCAGATGAAATGTTGCAGGACAACAAGAGGTGAATGAAAATTTAGTTTATTATACATGTGTAGTTATATTTACTAGCTGAAAAAGAAAAAAAAAAGGAAAAAAAAAATTCTATTTTTAATTGTACTGCCTCAGAGGAATAAACAAGGGACTAAGTTATATTTTATATATGAAAGTTTGTCAACAAAAATAAAGTATATAAAAGCATACTGAAATGCTGAAGAGTATGAATCAAGAGTGAAGTTTTATTTCCAACAAAAAGTGTGTCTGTTTAAAGTACTACTAAGCAAAGACTAGAACAACAGAGCAATATACAAGGATTTTTAAATTCCATTTTAAAAAGAACATATAATTATCCACTGTGTCTTTGCAAACAGCTTGGATGTGCAACATTTTCTGTCCTTGGAGATAAAAATAATTTTTTTCCTTCATTAGTATGGATTACTTTTTGCAAGTAACATATAAATAGCACATGCTGTAATATTCTAAGCACATTCATATTTATATAATGGCTAATGTCAGCTCATGATTATGTGTTTCATATGCTAAACATGATTTTGCATTAAGAGCAATTTTGATTAGCAGAAGTCTGCATCTCCAGTTAATGAATGATAGAATGCTTTGTGAATTTGATGGCCACAGAATCCAGTGACTGTGAAGAAATGCTTTGCCCAACTTCAGTTGCATGGATATATTTTTATAAAATAGCTTATTTTTAGTTTTATTTCTCCAATTCTTCCACATTGCATGGCATAAACTCAAAAGTGAGTTTAATTCTGAATCCTTAGATGCGTACAGCACTGAGCTGAACACTGCCTGTTGAAAAGGGAATGATATATTAATGAAAAATCCTTGTATTGAGAAAACAGAAGACTAAGAGAATTCCTCAGATTTTAAACAGAATTTAACCACATGAAAACATTTTTGGTCTTACTGTTGTTGTTTTTTGCTTCTTATTCTCCTCCATCCCATCTCAATAGTGACTTCTGCTGTTTTGCATGAAACCAGCTGCCACTAGAGCCACTTTTGCAAGAAGAAAAATCCAGGTTTTCATAAATGGTACCTTCATTGTTCCTATTATTGGAACATTACAGCGGACTTTCATAAGCTGCATATTAATAGCAGGTATATGGAAATTAGGGATTTGTTTTAGCTGAAAATATCAAAAGTTACTCTTTTGTTTATTGTTCAAAAGACAGGATGCCCGTGTACAAACACAGCTGAAGAGAAAAGGCTCTTAGTCTGCCTTCTACTTATTCAGCTTGCCCTTTTTCAGGGAAAAAATACATAATTTTGAAAAAAAATGTGCATTTTGTATGCATATGAAATCAATCTCAAATTAATGCATTCAGGTGATGTCATTTAAATATGGTGAAAATACATGAATAGAAACATGGGAAACAGAAACCTCCCTAGAAAAATGAAATACTATACATTGCTGTAATATTAATTAAAAACAGATTCATCTAAAATTGCATTATTCACTAGAAAGCACTAATAAATTACTGCAAATCATAACATGGAAGTTTCAGCTTACATCAAAATGTTCTATATACACGGATACTCATGTTACAGTATCCTTGAATTTAACAAAATCCCAGAAGTGTCCCATTGTTTTTAGCAATGCATATTCACAATGTAATATAATCAAAATTTGAATATTCACATGTAATTTAGATACAGTTGAAATCATTAAGCATGTCCATTATAAACCATAAAAAAAGAAACCATATTTTATATACTTTTGCCCAAAACCTTCTCTCCAGCTTTCATCACTGGTAACTTTGAATGTGCAGAAATAGTAAGTCCTCCCTCTGCCATCAAAAGAATGTCTTTATTAAAATAGCCATTATAATGGCTCTTTCTCCTAATTTTCTTTAGGAAAATTGGCCCATTCCTACCAAAGGTCCATTGAGACAATATTATTTTAGGCCAATGCAATCCATACACAGGTAATTCCTCAGGACAGATCGTACCTGCTATTTCCTCAACACAGCAATTGTTTTTATATTTGCTATTCCTTTTTTTTCCCAACCCTGCAATTAAAATTACCTAGCCCATCTATATTCTTCATCACATCTTCTACTGGCATACCATATTCACATCTTCACTATTCCCTTTCTCCTCACTACTTCTATAATCTAATCACCTCTCTCTACACGTATCTCCTATATATATATGTATATGTGTTTCAATCACCGTCTGCATTGGACTTCCCAACAATCTTGTTGGATCTTCAATCTCCAATCCTTTAGATTTCCTTTCTCAAATATTATGCTGATTATACAGTCAGTGTTAAGAGTCATTCAGGAAAGTGTAATTTACTATGTCCACAGGAAGAAACAATCCAATATAATGATGGTGTATTCAATACAAAGTGACACTCAAAAGTAGCAGTACTAAAGAAAATGTACATAAAGGTGATCAGGAACAGTTTTACACACTGAGGGCAACAATTAAATACTGTTTGCTGCTCTTATTATGGTATAATCAAAGAAGGAAAAAACCATCTGATCCTCGGCTTCTGTGTTTTGACACAAGTGTACCATTATTAATGGACAACTAGCATTACTTTAGAAAAGATATAGACAATTGGTGACAAAGATTAATACATTATTTATGTGGGAAAATACATTGAGGAAACTTGCAGTCTGACTATTCATGAGCCTCTCTGGAAATCACACTTCCAATGCAGAGACTTCAACTGCTGTGTTTGAGGCCCCCTTCACAGCAGGAGGCTCCAGTCAATAAACAAGGAGACAATTTTATCCTAGAAGTTTTGGAAAAAGTAGAAACTTTGCACAAACAAAGTTTACAAATACCAAAGTCCTGCTCATTCTTCATTTTGCTGTAAGAGTAGAACACAAATACATAGAACACGACCTTATAGTTCAATCATACAAACACTAGGACTGCTATAAAGTATCACAGATGGCACTAATTGGTTACCAGTTTTCAGTCCTTCACACTGAGCAGTACTTCACAAATTCAGTATGTAATATTAGACTGTTGTATGTGTATCTGATATGCTGAAAACAAGCAACCATGTAGCACTACCAAACTGCCATGTTGTATCTGAAAAAGTGAAATACAGGAATAGAAACAAGGGAAAAAAATAAGTCATATAAACTACATGTATGAAACATCTGTCATCATGAAAGAAGACATAAATCAAACAAATTATCCCAGAAAAAAAGTCTTTCACTCACAAATCTCACAACAGAGCTACAGACAAATCTCCTAAAAAGTTAGCTAAGTTCAAGCATCATATGATAGGGATGGAACTACTACTCACTACAAACAGTCTACACAACAGGAAAAAAATATAAATGAAATGTATGAGACTGTGAAACACATACATAAGAATGCACTGGAATTTAATAACTCAAGAAATAGTGAAGTTTAATTTAGAGGTAAGCACTCCACCAGCACAGAAATGAATGGTACTGTTTAATAAAATATGTGTAGTTCTCATATTACTAATTTGGAAAATGGGAAGTCAGATTTTGATGAAAAACATCAGATGTCATCCAAAATACCCATCACATGGACAGCTAATTTCTCTGTTTTCTGGAAAAGCCCTGGACAGCCATCATGGCTTTCATACTGAGTCCCCATTTTCTACCTCCATACTTTTTCTTTTTAGCTCCCCATTTTCTTCCAGCTCCATTTCTTCTAAAGCTCATGGGTGCTGCATAGGAATAATCATCTCATGTGAAAGAACAGTGCACTGTGCTGGCTGCTACACCAATCTTCTTCCTTCCCTGGCAAATTTACATTATGAGTTATTGATTGTCATACCACAAAATCTTTCATGACATTGTGCATATATCTGCAGGCAGTCAAGCCTAGATGCGCAAAGAACAATGCTTTTAATATTTACATTTTCATTGCACTTGGACATCCAAACAGATGAAGAAACAATATCATCGATAATTTCAGAAACATGCAGTATTCAAAGGAAAAAATGTAAATATTCAGTAACATAAAGCAAACTTCTGTGAGATACTGCATTAATTATATAATAAATAACAGTTAGAATCATGTAAAAATACTAACAGAGCTTGTCAGATGCTCGAGTTAAGGAACAGATCCTGAAAATAGCTTGCTTTTCTCTGGTTATTTTAATTCCAGCAAACTAAAATTGATAAAAGCAAAGTGAAAGTTCCTTTAGCAGTCTTGCACAAAATCAAATTCTTCATTATATTTTTAAGAACTATAATTAGAATTCTTTTTTTAATCTTCTCAAACTTAACAGCCACATACCTGTTGCTGAACTGGTACTTGCTGTACTACCTGTGTGGGCACTGCTGCCTGGCCAGCCACGGATGTCTGTAAAGTCACAGTCGAACCTGTATCTGCCCCAGTCTCTGATGTCTGCATTGTGATCTCTGAAGAAAATTAAAACATAAAATAAAAAAGTTAGTGTATAAATGTTTTTATTTTGCCACTTACATTAGCACACTAATTTGTCCCTTACTTCTATTAACATTTTAAAATCAACTAATACCAATCTTTTGAAGAGACAAGAGATTTTTTTTACCCCCCCTACTAGGACACAAGTAGTATAAATGGGGTTTTATGTTATTTTTATCTTACTTATATTTGAAATATCTTTTGCTCACATATAAAGAAATGTGTCCCTTATCTGAGCTTTTTTTTTTGCTTTAGGATTAACTCAGAAAAATCAACAGCAGATCTTCTCTCAGGTTGTAAATAACTGGTCAGCATTCAAAACCATTTTTCCTCTGTCTTACGGAATGACACTGAAATCTCAATACATTCAAATTCAAGTTGAGGCAGGCCACAGAATGAAGGTCTCTTCTCCAGAAAGCAAACTCTGAAAAGCATCTAATGAGTCACAGTGAAAAAAACACTCAAATAACCTTCTTCAGTAGAAAGCATTAAAGCAACTAGTAAGAAACTTTTTGACACTAAAACCACTCAGACATACATAAATGGTAGACAAGTGCCTATGATCATGGCCCTGATGTTTAAAGGGAACAACAAATTTGGGTAGAATGAATAAATGGTTCAAGAATGACAAAGAAAACTTATCAGAAAGACAACCAAGACTGATATGCCTTCACATGAAACATAGATTGTGAGCAGCAGATTCCTCAATTTCCCATAGCTAAAATGACAATACAATTGATTGGTGACAAAACAAAATTAATTCAAAATTGTGAATCAGCCTTTTATTTCCCTTTCTTCTTAAATTAGCTAAAAAATACTTTGTCAATTTGAGAACCACCATCAGTAAAAATGAGTAGCCTTACCATGCATAATAAAAGAGATTCATATGAAAAAAAAAATCTATATATACTTAGAATTACCTATGCAAGTGATTTTTTTTACTCATGAGACCCAGATGGCTGACAGTGAAGAAAATGGACTTTAATCCCTACCACCAAACAACAAGCTTCCCCAAAAACTAAAAATTTTTTTTTGAGACAAAACCATAATAAAAAAATTGAGGGACATACCACTAAATAGCAGGAGGAGTTCATTACTGTACCAAAAAAATTTCAGTGTTCTCCTTGCTTGACAGAACCACCTGTCAACAGCAAACTTTCCTGTCAAAGCTGGGTTCCACAGCAGTTTAAGCTGATTTAAAGCTGGGTTTCTGAAGTTCCACCTTCAAACTATCTCTAGCTCACCTTGCATTCAAATGCAGCCACTGCAAAGCAGGAAACAGGTATATAAATACGGTATGAGGTCAGGCAATAGGGCCAGGACCTTGCCAATTGTGACCATTCTAGGTTTAAACTCTAGGAAACCATGCCTATGGCACACCTGATTGATATAAATTCTTCTTCTGAAATATTCAGAAAGACTGACAAATTCTTAATCAAATTAATTTCAGATAAATCAACAGACTCTCAGAGTTTCATGTTAACTGAACCCTCTACTTTTAAGCCATGGATGCACTTCAGGACCCAGCACACCCAACAAAAATCAGCATACAAGAGAAAAAGAAGAAAGAAACAGAACTTCAGATTACATTTACAGATTACAAAATCCTAATTAAAATGGATCTCCACATGATAAATATGGAGGATAAATATGGAAGTCTCCATGCTGCTAGAAAGTTACGACCTAGTTGTCATTATTCAAAGTTGGTGAGATGAACCCCATGGCTAGAGTGCAGCTGTCAATGGTTACAGGCTGTTCAGAAAAAAGAGGTAAGGAAGGGGAGATGGGTGTATTGTGTTCGTCTGGCAAGGTTTCGGTAGCAAATGAGGGGGGACTACATGGGTGGTTTCTCTGAGAAGCTTCCCCTGTGTCTGATGAAGACAGTGACAGCTGGATCCAAGATGGACCCAGCCCTGGAAAGCTGAGCCTTGAGCCCATCAGTGACAGTGGTACTGCCTCTGAGATAACATATCTAAGAAGAGGGAAAAAAAAGTTATTGGGCAGAAGCAAATTGCAATTGCAGAAGAAAGGAGTGAGAATATGTGAGAGAACCTGCAGACATGTCAGTGGAAGAGCAGGAGATGGTATCTGAGCTGAGACTAGAGCAAGTTTGCTGGCAGGACTTACGACCCCAGGGGAAAGCCATGCTGGAGCAGTCTGGTCCTGAAGGTCTGTATCCCATATAAGGGACCCATGCTGGAGCAGTTTGTGAAGAACTGTAGTCCACTGGAATGACTCACACAGAAATGCATGGAGGATATGTCCTGTGGGAGGGACCTTAGACAGAAGCTGAGGAAGAGTTTGAGGAGATCACTCCCTGAGAAGGAAACAGCCACAGAAACAATGTGTGACAAACATGTTAATCCCCATTCTGAATTCCCCTCCACTGCAGGAAGGGAGAAGGTAGAGAATCAGGAATAAAGTTAAGCCAGGGAGGAAGTGGAGGGTAAGAAGAAGGTGTTTTAAAGATTTAGGTTTATTTCTTACTATCCTATGCTGGATCTGACTTAAAATAATAAATAAAATAAAATAATTTTTAATAGTAATTAATATTTTATATGTATTAAAATAATTTCCCTCAAATCAAATCTGTTTTGCCTGCCATGATAATTGGTCTTTGGTAATAGATCTTTCAGTTGAAAGATGAATTAATTGGTACTCGATCTTTCCCTGTTGTTATCTTCATCAATGAGCTTTTAGTTACATTTTCTCTCCTTTGTCCAGCTGAGGACTGGAGTGATAGAGTGGTTTTGGTGAGCACCAGGCATTCAGCCAAGGACTACTTCCATTGTTCTGGCTTAAATCCTAAATGCAAAATTTTATTATAGCTCAGTACACTGTACAGATTTTTCCCTCTAGGTGCCATACGACATGGTTTGACAGTCAACCTTAAGTATCTTCCTATTTACTGGAAGTTTTTCTAGCATCATGTCAGTGATGAAGTCAGTGTAATTCCTTTACATTGCATCAATGCTGAGAACACACTTACAGTTTTGGCTAGGGTAAAGTTAACCTTCTTCACAGTGACTGGCATGGGGCTATGTTTTGGATTTGAACCCTGAACACAGGGTTGATAATACAGAGATGTTTTTGTTATTGCTGAGCAGGGCTTGCACAGTGCTAAGGCTTTTTCTGCTTTTTGTACTGCCACACTGGGGAAGGGACTGGGAGCGCTTGGGAGAGCCAGGACAGGTGACCCCAACTTACCAAAGGGATATTCCAGGCCATGTGGCAGCAAGCTAAGCTAAGCTCACTATAAAGTGAGAGGAAGAAAGAGAAAGGAGGGGACATTTGGAGCAATGGTGTTTGTCTTCCCAAGTCACTGTTACAGGTGATGATCTCCTGGAGCTGGCTGAACACCTGCCTGCCCATGGGAAGCACTGAATTAATTCCATGTTTTACTTTGCTTGTGTGTGTGGCTTCTGCTTTCCCTTTTAAACTTTAAATTTTACCCTGAGCTTTTCAGCTTTTGCCCTTCTGATTCTTTCCCCAGCCCCACTGGTGGGAGGGTGAGTGAGTGAGTGAGTGAGTGAGTGAGTGAGTGAGTGAGTGAGTGAGTGAGTGGGCTAGGATTAAAGCCACAACAATAATCTAAATGAAGACTCTCCCAATTTTTCTCTAACACTCCATGTAAGTAAAGGAAGTGAATCGTCATCCTTGCCTAATTGGACCGTCAGGTGTATGACAAACAACAGATGAATGTTTGACAAGGTCCTTTTTATTCTGCCTAATTAAGCAGTTGGACACACCCATCTGTTAATGGTATTGCTTTGTACAGCCAGCCTTGTTGCAGGATGTGAATGTAAGCTAAACAGGCCACATTCTGAAAGAAGACTAATTAACCCCTCCAAGTGGGAAAAGATACTGTTGGGACCCAGCTGCTGAATGCAACAAGGTTAGTATTTCCTCAGTATAATGGACAGAACTTAGGCAAAGCTACCATGCTGAAAATTATTCATTTCCTATACATTCTGTGCAGTTCCATGTTGTCTGTTAAATTCCCTAAAGATTTTTTAATATACCCAAATTCTCAGTTGGAATCCTTCTGTTTTCTAGACTTGAAATGTGAAGACAGAATGATTTAAGAGCATAACTTGCTCTATTACTTATAAAAAGAGATGGTTAAAATGTGTCAGATTAAGGTTTATTTTGTTCCTGGACTACTTTACACTGAACTAATTTAGTTTTTTAACCGACCAGAGTTTGCAAAGTTTTGTTCAGCTAGGTATGCTTTATTGTCTAGATCAAATAATGTAGCAGGCTTTAATTCAATGCAAAAAATGAAAGCCTGTAATTTAGCCTTTCAAGTGCAGCAGGAACTTTCTTTTTTCTCCTCTAGAGCCTAAACAAAACATCACAGAAGATAAACTGAACTAGATCTCGTAATCACATGCAGTAATGGGAGGCTTTTAATAGTCAGAATAAAAGGCTAATCTTAAGATCTTATCTATTTACAATGATGAATAGCCAATATACTAATTAAGAATTTGCAGCAACATAATGTGTTTCACAATAAAGAAAAACTTCTCAGAACATTGAATTTCAACAATTAATACAGAATGCTTGGTTCCTGAACAAGAGTATAAATGGAAATAGTCTTCAATAATACACTAGCTTAACGTAAGCATTCCTTTTCAATTTTTGTATAAACAAAAATTTTATGAATAATTGACTTCATAATTGTGTTGTGTTAGAGCAGAAGATAGATTACGCAAGCTATTCACAGAGGAAGAACAGAATATTACAACAGTTTCTAGATACTAATGTATTTTCATGTTAGACACCCAGTTTCATACTGAACACTATATGATTGATTGTCTTCTCCCAAGGTTCTTGTGAATATCAAAGTAGGCAGCTGGACTCTGCCTGGTACTACTAGTAGCTGCTAAATATTGCAGTTAGTACCACACATTTCCTTACTCTTTTTTCAGCTTTTCACAGATTTATGGAGGAGTAACAGTCAGCGGAATGGCAC